AAGGAGTGTTAACAGAGAAAGAAGTAAACAAAGAGCACTGAATTCTGTTTCTGAGGGCAGGTTATTTTTCTTCCTTACACAGCTATAGACTTCCAAGTCCACAGATGTAGGCCAGTGGTAATAAGAGGCAACTGTACATGTCATGAATTAGAGGGTGGCAGCAGCACATGTTATTATTCCAGGCTTCTGGCAGTATTATTTTTGCAACTCAGCACATTTCCTCTTTTTTCCTACTCTTTTAGTGCAGTCTCTACTGCTTCTCTTTACACAAGGATCTACATAAGACCTAATGGGGTCAGAGAGCCTCTTCCCTCTGGCCATTGTGATTGGTTAAGATATGACTCATGACCCAAGCTAGGCCAATGAGAGCCCTGGTCTGAGACTTTCCTATAGTGGAAAACTGCTTTTGCTTTTGAGTTCCTGGAGCTGGATGAGTAGCTGAGGATGGCTAATTTTATCATTCTGTGGAGCAGGCCTTCTGCAATTGTCAGAATGAGGCCTACACTGAGAGAGACAAAGAAGAGAGGAAAGAAATGGTGATGTTGTTTGAGGTCTGGCTCTAGTTCTGTATGATGTTAGCTCTAATAAACCACTCCTTTTTTGTTTAATGTAAGTTGATTTGGATTTCTGTCATTTGTACCCTGCCTGATACAGATTTCAAACAGAAATATTAGAAAACACCGTCTTTTGGAATGTTACTTCATAAACCTAAAAATACAGATGATTTTGGTATGATAATAAAAATAACTGCAATTTATCAAACATCTACCAGGTGCTAAGCATGGCAAGGAGTACATGATGTGTTTTGTGTTATTTTCAGTTAACCTTCACAACAACCTATATAGTATATGTATCAGTTAGCTATTGCGGGTAGCTAATTGTCCCAAAACTTACTAGCCTGAAACAATAAGACTTTAGTTAACCATGTCTGTGGCTTGGTTGGGTGATTCTTCTGGTTTAGAACAGGCTCAGCTGATCTTAAACAGGCTTACTCATGCATCTTCAGTAAGTTGGCAGATTTCTGGGAACTGAGTGGTTTGGGATGACCTCATTCATAGGTCTGGAGTTTGGTGGTCTTCTCAGCTGGGCCCCATAGGAGTGACTGGACTTATGTCTCCAGCAGGCTAGCCTGGGCTTGTTAACATGCATGTCAGAGGATTCCAGGAGAGTGAGTGAAGGCAGGAAGTCCTCTCAAGGCTCAGGTGAGGTACTGCATCTTGCTACTTCTCCTGCATCCTATGGACCAAAGTACAAGGTTACCCTCATTCAGGGAATGAGGTAATAGTCTCCACTTAAAAAAAATTTTTTTTTTAATGTTTATTTATTTTTGAGAGAGAGAGAGTACAAGCAGGAGAAGGGAGATACAGAAGAGGGAGATACAGAATCTGAAGCAGGCTCCAGGCTCTGAGCTGTCAGCACAGAGCCTGATGTGGGGCTCAAACCCACAAACCATGAGATCATGACCTGAGCTGAAGTCGGATGTTTAACCGACTGAGCCACCTAGGTGCCCCCAAAATCTCCACTTTTAATGGGAGGAGCTGAAAGTCAAAGGGAATGGATATAAGGAGGCATGAAAAATGGTAGCACAACTACTTTACTAAAAAAGGTATTGGGTGCATATACTTCAAAAGTTAAGAAATTTATTCAAGGTCATATGGCTAGTAAGTAGCACAGATAGGATTTGAGCCTTAATCTTCTGACTGAAAATCTCACTCTTTCAGCGTTTTTCTATTCTTGCTGATTGATCTATGTAGTCCAGATGTCACAACTTAATTAGTTTCTGAAGTCCTTTTCTTAGATCACTTTTGAATGACTTATCAGTTATTATGAACAGTTTCTTTATTATAATAAAGGTATTAATTTTCTGTGAATAGGTTATTCTTGAGCCACTCTTATAAGTATTTTCATTCATATTTATAGCCACAATAAAGTTCATATTTTCATTCTTGTATCATGGCTATGATTCGAAATACCAGATGTTATTTTGGGAGAATAGGTAAAATAACTTGGAGTATCTTTTAAAATTTTAAACAATATTTAGATGTAGTGAGGAATCTATGTGTTCAGGCAAATGGGAAGCTGGAACATAAGGAGATCTGTAAAATGGGAAGAAGACTGACAACAAATGGAAGAAAGCAACAGTGGACTTCAACCCTGTAGGATTCTAGGGAGGGTAACAGTGGCAGTAACTATCATTTACATTGAGGAATCTTATAGCCTGGTGTGAAAGTCTTCATGAATAGTCCAGAGGCAGCCCTCTCCAAGGATCCTCAAAATGATAGAATATGGGGAAAAGAAGCAATGTACTCAGAGCCTGCTATTGCCCTGTAAGACTTAGATGCCCTACGTTATGCCTCCCCGCAAAAAAGTTTAGCTTAATGCCCCTCTGGCATGCCTAGTTTAATAGTCTGAGTGTTATAATTGTTCCTCTAGAACAGTCCAAAGGATGTTGGTGAGGGAGGGGTGTGGTCACATAGGCAACTTTGTCTTATGAAATTCAGTGATTAAAATGGATGATCACTGTGAAGAAAGGAAGATTGGAAGAACATAGAAAGAAACAGATGGTGGGAAATTAAAGAAGATAACTGCCAGGAAATTTCTTCCTGCAATTGAAGTAAGGGCTTCTCTCAGAAGATAACACTAGGCAAGTAGAACTGAACAGTTGGGAACTTCTCAGAGATCATTTGATTTGAGGTGGGATGACTAGAACTTACATTTGGGATATAGGCGTGAGGAAAGGGAGTGTTCATAATGGTTCAAATGAGACAGGAAGAGGTAAAGAAGGACAAGTAGGAGGACATCTTTGGATTGGTAAAGAAAGTGCATGGTTTTCTGATTTAAAAACTGGCTACTAGAGGAAAAAGTGATTTGTATAGTTTTTAAACATTATAATATCTTATATCTTTGCTTTCTTTTCAACATTGGTAAATATGTCACTTTAAACAGCACAATAGGTTCTAATTTTAGAATCTGATGATGAGGAAAAGATGAGGTATGAGAAGAACAGCGTGTATTTTCCTCAGAGGGAAAAAGCCAGGGCTTGCACTCTCCCTAATGAGTTTCCTAAGTGGTTTGTTTGTTTTTAAATGTTTATTTATTTTTGAGAGAGACAGAGCATGAGTGGGGGAGGGGCAGGGAGAGAGGTAGACACAGAATCTGAAGCAGGCTCCAGGCTCTGAGCTGTCAGCACAGAGCCTGACGCAGGGCTCGAACCCACAAACTGCAAGATCATGACCTGAGCCGAAGCCGAATGCTTAACCAACCGACTAAGCCATCCAGGTGCCCCAAGTGCTTTATTTTAAGAGGGTTTGCATGTTCTGTGTTCAGAAGCACAGAGAAACTTGCAATGGAGAATCAATTTCCTGTTTTTTCTGTTAATCTCTATCTGACCCTGGATGACTCTGGAAAGAAAGAGTGGTCATTCTACCAAGTCAGTGAAGTTTGGTCTGTAGTCAGGGCTAGATCTCAGGGCTGTGGAACCTGACATTCCTGTACTCCATGTCTGTGGGAATTTGTCCATATCTGACTGTCATCTAACTGCAGACTTTTCCCCCTATACCAAAAAGGTGCAGAGTTCTAACCACAAGAGTGAGAATTCTATATAAACTTGAAATCACTTTTCAACATGAACCATTTGAAACAATAGATCCCACTTTATAATATTAAGGAAAATAACCCAAAGAAATTAAAAGAAAGCAGATCAATGTTCATTAGATAGGAATGTATCTCAGAAAGGAGACCAAAAAAAAAAAAAGTTGGGTAGGGCAACTCCACATAATAATTTTAAGCTTTTATTTTATTTTATTTTTTTTATCAACAGATTTTTTTATTTTTTTTTAATTTTTTTTATTTTTTATTTTTTTTATATATGAAATTTATTGTCATATTGGTTTCCATACAACACCCAGTGCTCATCCCAAAAGGTGCCCTCCTCAATACCCATCACCCACCCTCTCCTCCCTCCCACCCCCCATCAACCCTCAGTTTGCTCTCAGTTCTCAACAGTCTCTTATGCTTTGGCTCTTAAATCACAGGTTTGAACTGTAGGAATGCCTTTGTTGATAAATACAGAAGAAGGATCAACCATTGGAACTATTTATCTTGCGTTTGTTTAAAGCACTGAATAAATTAGAGCAAATTTTGTAGAGTTTGGAAATGTGCTGTGATGTTGAATCTGTAAATATATATATATATATATATATATATATATATATATATATATACACACACACACACATATTGACCCCTTTCTTCTAAATCTGTAATTAAAAAGGGTAGGAAAAGTAACCAAACATAAAAGTAAATTCACATCCTTGACTTCCAAGTTCTGGTTGAAGATATTTGAAAGAGCAGGATGGTTTTCCATCTTTGGTAACTTAGACGTACTTACAAAAAACAAAATTATTTCAAGTGTCTTCTATAGTATTGTTATTAATCTAAGTGTTATTCTTTACAAAATTATAGATAACAGCTGCTGCCAGTGTTGCTGTCTGCTGTGCCAATGTTGCTGTCCTCAAAATGATGTCTGTGGATACCTCTTTTTACTATATCAGTCTCTGAATTTTTATGTCAAAAGCCAACTTTGCTTAAATGTTAACTATTTTTTTAAGTTTGATTTATTCTGGAATAATTTTATGTGCACAGAAAATTTGCAAAGGCAATATAGCAAGTTCCTATGTGCACTTCATCCATCGTCTCCTAATGTTAACATCTGTAGTAGATTGAATGGTGGCCCCCAAAATATATGTCCACAAACTAACTCCTGGAATATGTGAATGTGAACTTATTTGGAAAAAGAGTCTTTGCAGATGTAATTAAATTAAGGATCTCAAGATGGGATTGTTCTGGATTATTTGATTGGGCTGTAAATCTAATCACAAGTGTCCTTATAAAAGACACACAGAAGAGAGACATACAGGGAGAAGTGGAGAAGGCTTATTTATTTATTTATTTATTTATTTATTTATTTATTTATTACTGATGTCCCTTTTTTGTTCTAGGATCCAGTCCAGGACACTACATTGCATTAGTTGTTACATTTCCATAGTCTCCACTGGTTCATGATAGTTTCCCAGTCTTGTTTTTCATGACCTTGATCGTTTTGAGCAGTACTGGTAAGATACTTTGTAGAATATCCCCTACTATGAATTTGTCTGCTATTTTTTTCATGATTAGACTGGGTTATGAGTTCTGGGGAAGAATACCACAGAGGTGTGGTGCCCCTGTGGGGAAAGGGCAATATATATCCACATGACTTATCCCTGCTGTTGTTAGTCTTGATCACTTAGATAAAGTGGAGTTTTCCAGGTTTCTCCATTGTAAAGTCACATTTCCCCTATCTATACTATATTCTTTGGAATCAAATCTTTAAGTTCATCCCTTCATGGGAGATTAATCTACCTCCTTGTAATAGGGAGAAGCTAATATGTATTATTTGGAATTTTTCTGTAAGATACATGCCTTCCTTCCTCCTTTTTTTCAATAATTTATATATATCAGTATCAATGTATGTATACATTATAATCCAATTCCACTTTATGACCTAATGCAACATTATTTTGTTACCCAAATTGTTCTAGTTTTTATGCCTATTATTATTGTTATTAATTGATTGTATTGTATATTAGTTTAAGCTTTCTTTTTGTTCTCCAGTCTACTAGGTATCTATTGCTTCATAACAAATTACAGCAAAACTTAGGGGCTTAAAACAAACATTATGATCTCACAATTTCCATGGGTCAGGAAGTCTGGGGGTTGCTGAACTGGGTGCCTCTGCTCCCTCACAAGGCTGCAGGTTAGGTGTTTGGTGGAGCTGTCATTTTCTCAAGACTTGACTGGGGAGGATCTGCTTACTCAGTCTCACACACATTATTGTTGGTAGCCCTCAGGTCCTTGTTGGCCTTTGGATGGAGACATCAGTTCCTTGCCATGTAGGACAGGAACAGTCCTAGAACAGCTCATAACATGGCAGCTGGCTTCCCTCGGAGGGTGGCCAAGAAGGAAATTACAGTCTTTTTGTAACCTAATCTTGCAAGTGACATCCTACCACTTTTGCCATAATGTATTTGTTACAAGTAATCCACTAGTCCAGCCCACACTCAAGGCAGGGATGGGGGTTATAGAATGCCATTCTGAAGAGGAAGAGATGGTAATCACCCGGGCCATTTTCAAGGCTGCCCACCACACTCAGTATTCCACTGTTATATCCACTCACTTCAGTTGATTTGAATGGGCAGAGGGAGAAGAGAAGGGGGAAGCTTTGAAAAGCAAAACCACTGATGGATTAAATGTTTTGCTCGCAGTAACTTTTGACAAGGTGTCACATACTACATGGCATCTATCTCTTATTATTATTCATTTGTACATTTATCTGCTTATGTGTTTAGGAGTATATGACATGTAATTTCAAGCCAAATGTGATATTTCTGACCCCAAGTTGTGGTCTACTTGAGATTTTTGGAAAACATTTTTTTCTTAATTAGCACCTGTGCATTTTTTAAGCTGTTTAGGCCCAGCCTCTTGAGCATCAGTCCTACCAGGTGTTATGTGAGCAGAAGTGGAACAATTAGTCATTTTAATTAAGCTAAATGTAATTACTTTCATAATCTTGAGTTGTTCATATTGAACTCCATCAAAATTGCCTTATGAAGCTGGGGAATTATGAAGAATTACTGACAAAGGATACTATCAATAATTTTTCCATTTGTATTGAACTCACTTTTAGTTTGGTCCATCTACCTTTAAATGAAATCATTTATTTGTTTCTTCTAGTAAAAAAAAAAAAAATTCATGCTCCCTGAAGAACACTTGAGAGTGAATAAAAGCCCAAAGGAAAACAACAAAAGAACACTCCAAATTATATACCATAGTGTTAACATTTTGATGCACAAAATTTCCACATTATTCTTATACATACATATATATGTGTATATATATGTATATATATATTTAGCACCATTCATCTCAAATTTGTGGAATATTTAGAAATATATTATGCGTATTTTCCTAAATAAATTATTTTTGCAAGGACTCATTTGACTCACCATTATTATCACTGAAAGTCCAACACATGGATTTTTGCTCTGTGATCAGAGCAGTGCCATGTAGGACAGGAGTGATCTGTGATCAGAGATTATTATCACCTCTGCACTCATCCAACAAGCATATACTGACTTCTTACTATTGGCCGGTCACTGTCGTGACAACACAATGAGAGAGATCCTGGCACGGGGAGAGCACCAGCCAAGTATTTGGAAAGTTCAGTTTTCATTTCAGCTTTGCTACTAATTGGCTCATGTCCTTGGACTAATAAAAACCAACAGCTAACATATACTGAACATTCACTTAAAAAAAATTTTTTTTAAGTAAGCTCTAGGCCCAACACAGGGCTTGAACTCATGACCCCAAGATCAAGAGTTGCATCCTCTACTGACTGAGCCAGCCAGTCTCCCCTCTACTGAACATTCACTATGTGCTAAGTGCTGCTCAAAGCCCTTCACTTATACTTTCATGTTTAATCACAACACCTCAGTGAGGTAGATACTATTATAATTATGCTCATTTTACAGAGGAAAAGATTGAGGCCAGAGAGATTAGGGAACTTGCCCAACGGCACATAGCTAGTAGGTGGTGGAGCCAGCATTTAACCCTGGTAGCTAATTCCAGAGCTTATATTCTTAATCACCACTCTATACTTTTGAAATGACTGTGAGCACCTGCTCTCTGGCCCTTAGTTTCCACATTGGCAGAATGAATAGAAGTTGTCCTAAAAGCAGGTGATCTCCAATGTCATTTGCTTGTTTGCAAGTGTAATAGGATTTCATCATATGCATAATTAACTTATTCAACTTCAGAATTTCTTTAAATGAAGAGTGAAAGCAAGAGAGAAAGAAATTGAAAGAAAAAGTTTAAATAATACAGAGGATTGAAGTAGTCAGCAGTCAGTGCCGGTTGGTCAAAACCTATGGAAATAATGTATGAATGATTTAATTTTAAAATTATTCTTGTCATTGACAATGGAAAGAAATGTATTGTTCTGGTGATCAGGTATATTAGTGGTGATAGATTCATCCACATTCTTGAAGAAGAAATTGAAGAATTAATTGAAGTGAATGGTGAAACACTTATAAGTGATAAATTAGGGGGGGGCCATAAAATCAACTTGTAGTTGCCAAAAAAATTGCACACTATAATTTTTAACCAATGTATTTTTTTAAAGTTTATTCATTTACTTTGAGAGAGAGAGAGAGAGAGAGAGAGAGAGAGAGAGAGAGAGAGAGAGAATCCTAAGCAGGCTCTGCATGCAGAGCCAATGTAGAGCTCGAACCCATGAACCATGAGATCATGACCTAAGCTGAGATCAAGAATCAGCCACTTAACCAATTAAGCCACCCAGGCATCCCTAATCAGTGTATTTTAAGGATAGTTTTACTGTATGTGATTTTTAAAAAGTTACTGCCTTTAAAATCAAACCTGGAAGTAAGATGTGAATCCATTTTAACAGATACCTACTCAAATTAAAATTTTTTGGAAAGATAAAAGTTTATATTAAAGAATCCAAAAGCCAAGATTCATTCTGGCCTCCTGAGGAACTAGACTATGACCAAAAAACCATTAGGATCCAAGGTAGCAATTTCCTGGCTCCTTTTCTTTATTTCTCTGCTTCTCTATGGGGACCTGTTTGATTCTCTTTCCACACAAGCTTTCTTTACTTCTCCAGGCATGGGTGGAAAATGGTCATCCTACATAGTCTTTCAGGCCAAGCCCTTGGCAGGGAATGACCAGTGTTTCTGAGACTTAACTCCAAATGTCTGGAGAATCTGCAACCTGAGATAGGTTTGTGAGACCCAAGATAGGGCTCTCTGCCCACTTTCCAGGAGAAACCATGGGGAAGGATCTAAATCCAGAACAGGAACTGCTACATGGTGTGTTTCAGCATACCAGCCACAAATGGCCTCACAGAAGTTCCTGAGTCACTGAAGCAGGGCTCATAAGCAGGGGAGGAAGTCACTGGACTCACCCTGCAGACAGAAGTGAGGGAGGTCTTAATGGTGATGCGAGAAAACCAGACAGGACATCGGACGCCTTAGTAGGTGACCAGTAATAGCAGGGCACTGTGGAATCCCTGGGGACTTAGCTACACCCCAGGAAAAGGGCAGTGGGGAAAGGAAGAATGACAAAGGACCAGATATCATTTCTGCCTCTTAGTGAAATGGAGCTTAAAACAAAAGCTAGACTGAATTATAGAAAAATAATATTGTGTTGGTAGGACACTTGCTTTGAGGGTCAAGACTTGTATGCAATACCCATGCAGGCCTGTCCGGAATTGCTGTGATTCCTCATGCAGCACATCCTGAAATACAGATTACTGATACTCTCCAGAATTAGGGCCAAGCCATTTGGGGCAACACTGTGATCCCATGCCAAGACAAGGTAGGTACTCAAGATACCAGTGATTTCAGGAAAACCAGGGGACTGTAGTGAAATTTAAATTGGCAATAGTTCTACAAAAAATGCTTTGAAGTTTTTGGGCAACTTGAGAGTGGTGGGGAGAAGGAAGAGGACAATTGTTAACCTTAATAAAGTTAATGGGTAGATCTGAGTTCTATGAGTACCAAGAAGGTAGTTAAAAAGGTAGGTGCATGATATGTTCTTTTCAAGGCATCTTTCTCAGACAGTGATTTTAGCCAGTGGATTCCGGAGAGGAAGGAGTGATTCCAGCAGCACCAGCTCAGGCCCTGACAGATGGCACAGATGGGCAGTTATCATAGCAGCTCTTTTGGGATCCCCTGACCCAGGCTGTTCTTAAGGTAGCTTCCAAGGCAGAAGGATCCTGATGCTCTGCCAAGTGGGTGTCCCTTTACTGTGCTATGGATTGATGCAGTGGCCAGGGCCACAGCCAGACATCTCTTGGAGAAGGACTCCTTAACAAGCCTTGAGAGGACGCTGCTCTGCATTGGAAGGTGGACAGTTCTAAGACTCTGGTGAAGTACAAGAACACCCCTATTTTGTTTTGTTAGTAGGAAGAGAAGAATATTTTAATGGTGAAATTACCTTAAATGAAACCATCAGCCACTAATACTGGAGCTAAGGCCTACTCAGTGAAGGTAGGAGG